GGGGACCCGGTACCCGTACTCAATTGAGCCGGCGTCGGGGCCCCAGCCTTCGTCATCGATGTAGATCTCGCCGCGGCGACTCTTGGTCTTACGGCCAACTACGTATCCCTTGAGCCCTTCGAAGCTGCCCTTTAAGATCTCAAATCCACCGTGCGCTGCCCCCACGATGGGTGCCAACTGTCGTGGGATTGTCACGGCAGATGTCCTCTTGCAAGGACTTAGTTGTGGAGCCATCGCAACTAGGAAGCTTAAAGGGGTTAATTCGGGACAAAGGACACGAGAGATTTATACTAGTTCGGCCCCTTACGGTGAAGGTAAGACCTACGTCTAGTTGGGTTGGTATTGCTTGATGTTTCGATGACCAGGGAGCGAGATACGCTATGCCCGGTTCTCGATGAGTTGTTTCTTATCCCTAAGCCGCCGGCGGATCGTCCCCTTATATACACGGGTTGACGCCCTGCGGCCTACAGAGTCCCTGCCGGCTCATAGACAGTGTCCGGCTCAGTGACTAGTTAATTCTACCTTATGTTACAAGTCATGTCATCATGGCGGTTTACCACTATGGGCCTTAAGCCGCTTGTGGGCCTTAGACCCTTTATTGAACCGCCATCTTCATGCTTGGTCTTGGGCTTCTTTCTGATGAGTCTTCTTTGCGTAACCCGGCCCCTCCTCGGCGGCTTACACAAATAGTTATATCCCCAACACTCTGTGATTTATTAGTTTTGCACTCGCCATGTTTAAATGAACGATCTTCAAGAGGGAGTTGTGTATGTTAGTTGGGTTTAATCTTGCAAATATTCTACCGCAGTGGCAAAAAATGTTAAAGGCTTGTATTGTCTTGTTGCCACTGAGGATAAAAAGTTAGATGTGTAATTTTCCTTTAAACGCATGGCGAAAACAATATCTATCTACATCATGTCAATCGGCTTAATGCAATCTTTATTTTCCTTAATACTTTGATGCACGCTTGATATCCATCTTTCTGTGGAATATTCACTATATACGTTATTGGATTATTGGTATTACCCTTAAAGACGAAAGAAAATAGAATAAAAAACTAAAATAAAATCAGAATATTGAAGTTTTCTAATGAAGAATGAATTAGCGCAATTGATATTAACCTTTAAAGAAAATGGAAGGAAAAAACATCTAAAGCAAACAATGACAATTTTTTTACAGAATGTACACAAAAGTTGTGTTTTTGAAAATATGCAAAGAATAAACATATGAAAGTGGAATTTTAAAAAAATAAGTTTCCTACGAAAAAATGAATTAATGGTATTTGTATTATCCTTAAAGAAGAAAGAAAAATTAAAGAAATTAATAATAAATTTTATAAAAAAGAATGAATTCGTAGCAATACTATCATCCTTTAAGCACAGACAAAAAAGTAAAAAAAACTTGCATACAACTTTGCACAAAAAATGTACTTTTTCAATATGCAAATTCTAATCTTATAACAATGCATTTTTGGCTGTATTTGTGCGTATATATTTACACTCACCAAACTTTTCATAAATACCTTGAAAATAAATATAAAAATAAATTAATGAAATAAATTTTAAAAATAAAAATGAAATCAGATAAAAGCCAAAAAAACAGAAGAAGAAAACAAAGGGAAAAATGAGAAGGTTGGATGGCAACTAGTAATGGGCTTTGGCACATTAAGGAATCAACTACCCAAATATGTGGTCAATCCAAACACCTAAGAGAACAAACCAGAAGAAAATTAACATTACAATCGCAAAGCAAGATAAACGACATACAAAATCGACTGGCCCAAAATTAAATTCCAGACGAATTACATGTAGCTATTTTTTTAGAGCGCATGCATGATTGACATAACTAATTAAGGAACACAGCTTCGATACGATTGACATAACTAATGGTAGAAATCATACGGATTTATTTAGAGAGCATATTTACTTAGATAGACTACTGTGTGCGGATTGAACATGAACATAATGAGGAGAGGAAAACTTCTCGGTGGTGAAATAACAAGGATCGTCGGTTCCAACGAATGTGTGCAGGTTTAGTGGCGCATTAAAGCCACGCCTACTGCATGCAGGCTAATCTGGGAGGGCACCTCACACATGTTTAGTTATGTAGTGTCTTCATCAGTTCTTTGGTTGTCCATGGCTTTGGCTTTAGCGGTGGCAATGGCGGCATCAAATAAGTTTCCTCCTGATCTGTCATCGAAGGGGTGGTTTTCTTAGCTATTGCTGTCGGATCTGGGACGCGGTGTCTACGTCATCTGCGGTCCTTGGAATCCAAGCTGGCAGTTCGTGTGTCTTAGTGTTAGTATCGAGGTAATGGCCTTCTTCTTCAAACTCTTTGTGGTGCTAGTGTTGCGGGCAGCCAGCGACTTCGACGGCTGAAGGCCGACCCTCGGGGATGTGGGTGATGTTCCCCTGGTTGTTTTTGCGGCAGCAGTGAGGCTTATGCCTCCTTTTCTCTTCTTGGATGTCTGCTTTATGCGAGAGAATCTTCTCTTGTGGTTTGTGCTTCCTCTTAGTCGTGGCGACGCTCTCTCCATCGTCCTTGCGAATCTGACGAAATATTTGTTTCAGACATGGTTTGTATATATCTACACAAGGCTTCTGTGATGGCGACTTTTTCTCTAGGCCATTGGTCCAACTTGATCTTAGCACGATGACACCCCGACTGCAGGATACAACGTTAGACCGGCTTCGACGATGAAGCGACAGCGGCTCCAACTGGACCTTAGCATGACGACTTCCCTACTGCAGGATTCAACCTCATGTCGGCTTCGATGATGAATATTGAGTTTCTTTGGCTCTTCGGGTACCTGGCTCTAATTTCCTTGTGTTTTTTAGATGTCTTGTATGGGACTGACTAAATAGGCAGTGGTCTCAATATGTAATTTGAGTCAGTCACTTTATTTAGAGATTTTTTTACGGTACATCATACTACCTCCGGAACCAAGTAGTATTGAATCATCTCAGCCTCAATTAGCAGGGTAGTTTTTCCTAATTATGTCCTATGAAAAGAAAGGGAACGGCTACATGTAAGTCACCTGAAAATATATTTTGAGTAAGTCAATTTTCTGGACCGTTAGATTGAAGATCCAATGATCGACCTTTTTTCTTCTACCTCTAGCTTTCTTCCTCCCCCAACCATTCCTCCTTCCACAAAATCGACTTACCCAAATTAAAAATTCAGTCAACCTACATATAGCTATTGTGGAAAAAAACATGAATTCACTATATCCGCAAGACTGCATACACTAATTCTTGCCTAGTTCAGTACAACACGTAGGCGACTAGGAGACACCACTACAATTGAAGAAGGCCACCCTATATACTTGTACACAACTAGGCATGACATGAGTAGGTCATGTCGGTGATGACAAGGCTAAGCTAAGTACGTTTTGCTGCGTGAGCGCCTGAGCGATTTCACGTGGACGGCAACCCCGAAAAGAACTTGACATAGTTGGCTGGATCCCCGAGCACTTTGAGCATTCTCGGGACAGGCGGCATGGTGACATCGACGAGCCCCTCGAGCGCCTGCACCACCGTCCCCATGCTCGGCCGCGCGCCCTCCTCGTCCTGCACGCACCAGCATGCCACCTTGCACGCCCGCTCCACCTCGCCAATGTCGGCGTGGCCGTCGAGCCGCCTGTCCACCGTGCTCTTCACGTCGCCGTCCAGGAGCCGGCTGGCGGCCGTCGACGGGAAGAAGTCCACGGTGCCGTCCGGCCGCTGCTCCACGTTCCTCCTGCCGGACACGATCTCGAACAGCAGCATGCCGTAGCTGAACACGTCGGCCTTGGCCGTGATGGCCGTGCCGGTTATCCACTCGGGCGCGAGGTACCCGACCGTGCCCCTCATCGTCGTTAGCACGCGGCTGATGTCCCGGCCCATGAGCTTGGCCAGCCCGAAGTCCGCCACCTTGACGGCGAACGCGTCGTCCAGGAGGATGTTCTCCGGCTTGATGTCGCAGTGTATGATGCAGTCCCTGCACTTGTCGTGCAGGTAGTCCAGTCCCCTCGCGATGCCCAGAGCGATCTGGTACCTCGTCTCCCAGCTCAGGACGCCATGGCCGGGGCTGGAGCTGGACCCGAAGAGGTGCCTGTCCAGGGAGCCGTTGGGCATGTGCTCGTAGACGAGCAGCCTCCTTGTCCCCTCGGAGCAGAACCCGAGCAGCCGGATGAGGTTGACGTGCTGGATGGTGCCGATGGTGCTCACCTCCGCGCGGAACTGCTTCTCCCCCTGACGCACGCCCTCGAGCTTCTTCACCGCGACCAGCGTCGCGGTCGCGTCGGGGAGTGACCCTTTGAACACCGACCCGAAGGAGCCGCCGCCGAGCTTGTCCGAGAAGTTGTTGGTCACGGACTGCATGTCGCGGTACGTCAACGCCATCAGGGAACCTTCCACGACTCTTCTTTGCGCCTTCACCCTTCTCCTCCTCAGAACGAAGGCTGACACGAGAACGGCAACGGTGACCGCGGCCACGGCCGCCGCGACGGCGACGAGCGCAATGATCACTGTCTTGGTGCGCCCTGGGCTAGTGAGCTCAGACGCAGCCAGCCGGACCATGATGGTGCCACTGTTACCTCCGGTGGCAGTGCTGCTCGTGTCTTGCAGGTTGATGAGGCCTCCGTGCCATAGCCAGCAGCTGCCGTTGTGAGAGTACGCGGTGCAGAAGCAGTCGCCAAGACACGCGAGCTCGCAGTCGTGAGCACTCGCCGCGGCCACCACACCCTGCGCGTCGCTCGGGAGCCTCAAGTTGGGCATGGCATAAAAACCGTCGTCGTTCTTCGCCTCGCGCGTAGCGCCCTGGACGCCGCCGCCGCGCGCGCACTGCTGCAGCGCGGTGTCCCGGACGCAGCCCTCAGCATGGTTGCCCTGTAGCCATGCCAGCGGGCGCCTCTCCCGGAATCCGCGGAGGCAGCGGCACGACGGCAGCTCATTCTCTACGCACGCGGCGAAGGCCCCGCACAGCGCGTAGACGTCGCACTGCGCCTTGGGCTGCGTCCAGAAGAGGATCCACGCGCCGGCAGACTCCACCCACGTCAGGAACTTGATCTGACCCGTCACGTCCACCAGGAACCGCGTCACGACGGCCTCGTCCTTGACGTCGTAGAAGAAGTAGCTCTCGTCCTTGCCGTCGACGTAGCCGAATTTGTACATGGACATCGGGGAGCTGCTATAGGCCTTCAACTCCGGCACGCCGGTGAACCCGTCGCCGGTCCAGTTGCCGCTGGTCCAGTACTCCATGCTGCCGTTCCAGTTGAGCAGATACTGGCTCGTGCCGTTCGGGTCGAGCTCGAGCGCGAACACGCCCGGCGCCGGGTCGTCGTAGCCCTTCCACGCGAAGAGGCGCGTGACCTCGCCGGTGCGCTTGTTTCGGCCGAGCCTGCCGCCGGGCAGCCACGTGTCGCCGAAGTGGTCGAAACTCTGCCAGAGCACGACGGAGGTGTTGGACGCGTCCGCGAGGACGAGGTTGCCCGTGTCGAGCAGGACGCCGACCGTGGAGCTGCTGGGTGCGATGCCCGCGACGCCTGTGGACCAGAGTGCCGGGGACTTGGCACGGTCGCCGTGGAGGAGGACCATGTTGCCGTCGCTGGAGATAGAGAGCTGCGCGGAAGCTGGGTCGGAGACCGGCGCGTCCCGGTTGGCGACCCACACCGTGGTGTGCTTGGAGATTTGGTTGTACCAAATGCCGAGGTACCAGTTCTGCGAGGATTCTGCTGCGCATGCGAAAGGAATGTCACACGACAATCATCATTCAGAAACATGTAGAATCTGCATCATCCGCAAGACCACAAGAAGAGCTAAGGAGAGTCGGAGGGGTAGGTGTTGCAGGTGGGTTTACCTGGCTGGAAGAAGCCGAGCGCGAACTTGCCGCGCTTGGACACCAGCCTCTGTCGGCCTGACAGCGGCCGGCCGATGACGACGGTGTCTGTATCGGCGGCGCGCGACGGTGCTCCTTGCAGGAGCAGAAAGCCTAGGAGCAAAGGCAGCACGGCGGCGGAGAAGCGCGTCGCCATTGCTGCAGCCCCCAAGCGCGCGGCCGGACAACAGACACTGGCCTGAACAGCGCGGCAGGGGAGGTGGTGGCCGGCAATAAGACAACAGAGGCTGACAGTGAAGAAACGATTGTGTGAGGGGATCGAGCGAGCCACGCCTCGGATTGGCCGATGGTTAACAGAGGAGGAAACGGTGGTCCGCGACCGAGCGGTCACGCCCGGCTTAAATGCGGCATTGAAGGCGTCGTACGAGAGAATTAACACTTTGGTTCATCTCACCTCGCCGTCGTTCCTGGGCGGGCGCGGGGCCGTGCCGTGCAGCAGCGGAGGGTGCCGCGTGCTGTTTCGCCAGCCAGTCGGACTGCGGCTCTGCACATGGACGGACGGCACGCAGCGCGATCGGTGGACCGCCGGTGAACTTTTCGGTGCAGGTGCACACTATACCTCGACCGACCGGTTATGAGTTATGACGAGCAGCCACTGGCTGGAGAGGGCTACAGGGGTATGGACGTGGACGGAGGGTATCGGTCGCAGGCAGCTGGGCCGTGCACAGAGGAGGGAGCAGGCAAGCCGGATCCAAGTGGGAGTGGCCTGTGGAGTAATCAACTGTTAAATCACTCGGCATGACACGGGCATCATCAACATGCAAACGGCGACGCTGCACCGCCACAAAGCCACGCAAATCCAGGGGGAGTTGGTGTCGCATTGATCGCCGCTCAGGGGTGGTGGTGGCGGCCGCAGTCCGACCGGCCCGGGCAGTAAAGCGTGGGCAGTGGCCGCGCGCGCGTTCCGGTCGGTGTCACGTGAGGCCAGCTATCAACGGCGGAGCGCGACGCACAGCTTACGTACCTGGAAACAACATAGACGAAAAATATCCAAAGAGCTCGTGCTTCTGCTTCCTTATTTTGTCTTGTTGATTCATCTCACAACTAGACAGCCTCGCCGGTCGCCATGGCCCTGGTTGAATGTTGGTCTCTATAGTTTTAACTCCCTTTTTTCTACTCCCTCCGTCCCACAATGTAACACGTTTTTGCAAGCTAATTTTCTACTCCCCCTGTCTCATAATATAAGATATTTTTGCAAGCTAGCTTAGCTTGCAAAAATGTCTTACATTGTGGGACGGAGGGAGTAGTATATAAGGCTCCGGATTTATAATAAAAACTTTTAATAATACAAGACGTCTAAAAAACACAAGGAAATTAGAGCCAGGTTCCCAAAGAGCCAAACAAGCTCAATATTCAGCATGAATCAAAGGCGCGCCGCCGCTGTTCATAGTCGAACCCGGCCTGACGGTGTATCCTGCAGTCCGAAAGTCATCGTGCTAAGATCCAGTTGGACCAATGCCCTGGAGAAAAAATCATTGTCGTAGAAGCCTTGTGTAGATAAAATATCCCAGAGCCAAACCATGTCCGTAACAAACCTTTCGTTAGCTTCGCAAAGACGACAGAGAGAGCGTCGCCATGACTAGGAGGAAGCACGAACCACAAGAGAACATTATGTTGCATAATGGAGACACCCAAGGGGAGAAAACGAGGCCTAAGAGCATCTCCAGCCATTGGCCCCCCAGGACGCATAAAAATCGCCTTCTGGGGGCGAGCCGGTGATACGTTCGGCGTTGGGGGCGGTTTTGCGCCAAGTCGTCGCCCCCAGGCGCCGATGTTGGCCCACTTTTCAGCCCCATTTCGGTGAATAAAGGGCCCATATGGGCGAGAATAGGCCCATATTCGGCATGGTTCGCCGTGGCTCGACGTTCAATTATCAACATAAATATTTTTTATCACATATTTCATCATAGAAAAATCAAATACTTGAACAAAATAGTACAACAACAAATAGTTCAATACAAATTATATAGTTCAACAAATAAAAACTCGTATTTCATCACACGTCGCGCCCGGCTCGCCCTTGAGCCTCCATAGGTGCTCCACCAGATCATGCTGCAGCTGATGATGCACCTGTGGGTCTCGGATCTCCTTACGCATACTGAGGTAGGCAGTCCAGGTTGCCGGTAGCTGGTGATCAACTTGGGCAAGAGGACCCTGCCTGTGGTATGGTTCAGTGTCAAACACTGGCTCTTCCTGCTCGCTCTCAATGATCATGTTGTGCAAGATGACACAGCAGGTCACCACATTTGATCTTTCGACCAGGTCTGAGCGGGTACCGGACAACAGCAAATCGAGATTGGAGCACACCAAATGATCGCTCGACATCCTTACTGCAAGCCTCCTGAATCTTCGCAAACCAGGCGTTCTTGCCTCCTGGCATAGGGTTTGAGATGGTCTTCACAAATGTCGACCATCTCGGATAGATGCCATCAGCTAGATAGTACCCCTTGTTGTAGTGCCGCCCATTGATCTTGAAGTTCACTGGAGGAGAATGACCTTCAACAAGCTTGGCAAAGACAGGAGAGCACTGCAGCACATTGATGTCATTGTGAGTTCCTGGCATACCAAATAAGGAGTGCCAAATCTAGAGGTCCTGTGTGGCCACCGCCTCAAGTACCACACTGCAACCGCCTTTGGCGCCTTTGTACATCCCCTGCCAAGCAAATGGGCAATTCTTCCATTTCCAATGCATGCAGTCGATGCTTCCAAGTATCCCAGGAAATCCTCTTGCTGCATTCTGTGCTAGGATCCGAGCAGTGTCTTCTGCGTTGGGTGTTCTCAAGTATTGCGGTCCAAACACTGCCACCATTGCCCGACAGAACTTGTAGAAACACTCTATGCTGGTGGACTCGACCATGCGCCCATAGTCGTCCTGTGAGTCACCGGGAGCTCCGTATGTAACCATCCTCATCGCTGTCGTGCACTTCTAGATCGAGGTGAATCCAAGTTTGCCGGTGCAATCCATCTTGCATTTGAATTAGTTGTCAAACTCCCGGATGGAATTCACAATCCCGAGGAAGAGCTTTCGGCTCATCCGATAACGGCGCCCAAATGTTTTGTCGTCGTGAAGTGGAGCATCGGTGAAGTAGTCGGAGTAGAGCATGCAGTAGCCTTCGACATGATGCCGGTTCTTTGCTTTCACCCGCCCCGGCGCCGAGCCACCTCGCCATGGCTTTTCATTGCTCGCCAGCAGCTAGGCGAGGGCAGCGAGCACCATGAGATGCTCTTCTTCCTGGACGTCGGCCTCGGCTTCCTCCTCCAGCAGCGCGGCAAGCGCTTCCTCGTCATCCGAGTTCATCGCCGAGGCAGGCAAATCGCCGAACACCTTGCGCCCGGTGGGCGTGCACCCGCCGCTAAACTGCCCCTACGCGTCCGAAAACGGCGGCCGGAAACGCCCAGCTGCTGTCGGAGGGGCTGCCGCGGCGAACCTCTGCTATTTTTCCGGCGGGGAATGGCTATCTAGCGGTGAAGGGCGGCGGGCGGCGCCGAGATATAGCTAGTGGCGGCCGAGGGCGCGGGGGGTGGGAGGCGAGTCGGGGAAGAAAATCTTGACTTTTCACCTGACGGCGTGGGCCAGCGGCGCTTTTCCCTTGCGCCGGAGCCCCCGATTGCCCGCAGTGCGCCGGGTTCGGCCTGCGGCCGCCGGGCGGAAAAAATCATTGTCGTAGAAGCCTTGTGTAGATAAAATATCCCAGAGCCAAACCATGTACGTAACAAACCTTTTGTAAGCTTCACAAAGATGACAGAGAGAGCGTCGTCATGACTAGGAGCAGGGATGGATCTAAGGGGGGACGAGGGGGGGGGGGCGAGACCCCCCCTAACGATCATCTCGTCCCTCGATAGCGATCAACTAATCGCTAATTTTTTTCCTTGCCCGCTTGTTTCGTGCTTGCTTCGCCCCCCTATGCTTTTTTCATGCCTTTTCTCATTAACGTGAACGGGTTAGCCCATGTACAGCCCATTGCAGGCTAAAAGCAATAAAATCATAAAGGAGAATTGCCTAGCAGGCCATCTTGCATTGCATTGCCAACCCAGAGATCAAGTCTTCTGGCAATACACAACAACATGGTACAGAAACAACCGCTTTATTGATCCTAGCGGATTACATAGGTCTGATATTACATCGAGATTTGAGGCCAAGCGGCACACATGGTGCTGCTAGACAGTATGTACATAATTTAATGAACATGATGGGGCCTCGATCACAGGAGCTACACGGCAGCGGAAGAACGACGAAGTGGAACTCCATAGCATAGGGACACCGACGTGAACACGGCCTAGACACGAGATGCGCTCCGATGCAAATTGACTTGCCTGAAATCTGGCATAACACTCCAGGTCAGTACATTGAATGTACTTGCAAGCTCACAACAAACATAAGCACGATGGCAAACAATATCATGATATTTAACCAGGTTAATACAATGCAGAACTACTACTGAAGGAAAACAAACGTTTCATGCAATGAGTCCCACGGACTCGCTTACCAGACGGTTACCTCGTAACCAAACTGTGACCATTCCTGGGTCACACCTGAAACCAATCACTCATGAACACCTCACGTGTTCATGCTTCGCCACGAACTAATACATCACAATCATCACTTAGTTTGCAAGATTTATTAGAAAAGTTGATCCATGGTATGACTTACTTCCGAGTTATGCCCATAACCGAGGACGCGACTATCGATAGATTAATTACACTCTGCAGAGGTAGCGCACTTTACCCACACTACGAAACACCGGGCCTCGCATTCCCATTTGGGTGGACCAAAGCATTCCGACGAAACCCTCCCTTTGTCATGCACTCTCCCCAGCCACTCCGACCAACTCCCTGTCAGGGCTAGGTCTTGGGTGGCCCTGTGTCTACCAAAGACACCAACGGCCACCGTCATGGCAAAACGGTCCCAAACGGGGGCAAGGTACCATAAAAACAAAAACTAGCACACAAGGTTATGGCTGCCTACCGGGCCAGGTATGCACGCCCATAACCTTCACTCGCGGGAGGCACCAGTGAGAGCCACGACAAAGGACCGAATCAAGACCTTCCCATAAGTTAAATGTGGTCGTACTGAATTAAAAACCCGATTTAGTGGCACCATGATGTGATCAACATCATTTTCAAGTTGAACTTAAT